AACATTTGAGATGGCAAATTTTCTAACAAAATTTACATTCAAAGAAGCAAGAATAAAGCTTGTAACAATTACAACATTCAAATCATAAACTATGAACTACAAAACACAAAAGGATTCACCAACTACTAGACTTAGGCTCTGATACCACTTGAAGGAAAATTTGTGAAAAACATGTTCATTTAAGCAACATCAATAGCATGCAATTAACAATTAAAGGCGGAATCATGCTTGTATGCACTTAAAACAAAACATTTACCCATGAAATTCAAAGCCTAGTAGATAGGTGAACCAAGACTCAACTCAAAACAAAGTGAGTTGAGAAATCAATACCTTTGTAGATTCCTCTTTGCATAAGCAAAGGCTAATCACCCAAAGAGAGGGCCTTCATTCCTTGCATCTTGGATCCATGGATTTGGATGGATGAAAAGGTTTCTCCAAGTTCCCAAAATTGAAAACCTCTAAGTCTCCACACCAAGGTATATTGTAGAAGAAATGAGTGACCTAGAGGAAGTAAGATTGCTAGCTATTCCCCTCTAGATTGGCCAAAATTTTTGAGAGAAAGGAGAGCTTGTGTTCTCATCCTTTCCCCAAAAATAACCCTTAGTAAATTTTAGGCTATAAAGTCCTTTATATAGTCCCTTCAAATAAGTGACCTAATGGACCAAAAGCCCTATTCTTTTACACATGGCTAGCCTATAGGTTTATTGGGCTTTCAAGCCCTTTGTTTTATTCAAGTTGTCATACAACTTGAGTTAATGGGCTTGACATTCAAATCCCATTGGGCCTTGCGGCCCAAAACTAACCCAAGGTCTTTAACGAACTTATTCGTTTGATTAATTAACATATTAATTAATCCTAGCCTTAGATAAATAATTAAACCATTTAATTATTCTTACTCATCTCCGTTGAATCTTCAAACTCTACCTTACACGGTGTACGATCCATTAGGTTCCTTTTAGCGAGGCAGTGGGCGATTCAAACTCTTTCAAATCGATTGTGAATTGAAACTTACTTTCAATTCTCCCGTTAGTGATAATACACTTTTAGGGCTTCCACAAACCATGAGTGACACCTAGCAGCATATCATGGTTACCCAAGCTAATAAGAAGAGGTGGAGAACCTATTCAGTTTAGGATTACAAATGCAATACGGTCTTTCTCTAATACAATACTCTTGACCACATTGTTTGGTTTGATAGTTTATTCATGTCTACTATCCAATGTGAATCTTGTGCTTATATGATTACCTTGAATGTGATCTGGAACGCATTCCAACATTTCATTCATACTCTGGCCAGAGATTCCAAATCATATCATAGAGTATTCTCCCTCAAACAGTTTGAAGGTTAGAGATCCCTTGTTGCGCATTCACTTGCCTCCATGGCTAAGTGGCTTAACCCCGACGATGCCGTGGACACCCTGATAGAGTGACTTTGACATAATCAAAGATTAAGGACCTAACCACAAGACAACTGTGATGCCTCAGGTCAAAAGACTAATTTGCATTATCCCAACCATGAGTTCTCATGTGACATGAATATGAGAACTCTTCGTTGATCGTGTTCAGTGAACTCATTCTCTATTGAGCACCTACGTACTTGTCTTGATGTCACACACACCAATGACTCGAGACTAGTCACTCTCCCTGAGAGAAGACATAGCACGTACTGATCTTAACGGACTGTCAATGCCCAATTGACAATCCTATGATCAGGAACGTTTAGGATGTGTCAACGAAAGAATGGTCTCATGAATCTAACTTCTTTAGATCGCATTCTTCCAATCACATATTCCTTGGACTTATCGTTTAAGCATATAACATTTATATTAGACGGCTCAAACAATAATCTTTGCCCTTTACATTTAAACTACATGAGTTTGAAATGAACTACATTAGTTTGAAATGTCCGTAAAGTATCATCATATGATTGGTTTTAGGGCACATTTCCAACAGGATCCGCATCTAGTTACCTTAGAAGTTCGATCATGGACTCACCAAATCTGAGCAGAGCTGTATTAAACAGAGTAGCAGTGCCACCATCACCCTATTCCGGGGCAATAAGCGGAGTCATTACGACTTCGCTAGATGACCATGCTCGTTCCACAAGACACGCGATCTGATCCAGATACGAACCCAATAAGATCCTTATATGTCTTGTAGTTCCTACAATCTAGGAGTTGGCGTGTGCCACAAGTGATCACAATTCCTAAGAGGATGTAATATCCACTTCTAGATATCCTTTATAATTCTCTTGGCTTAGAACGAGGATTTTATCCTACAAAGTATTTCTCCCACGGTATAAATACACCCATTTAGGGTTCATCTATGGTAACGCAATCTGAGCACTTCTGGACTTTCTGTGTTGTATTTCGTGAGCAAGCTTTTGGGGATGTGTGTCTAGGCTTATATTAACGATTCTTGTTGGGATCTGAGTAAGTGTTGCCTGGACTATTGGCTCCTTAAAACGGGAGACAACATCATCGAGATCTTTTACTCGCATCTTATGATTGCGCAAGTCTTGTCAGTTCATTGGTTTGCGAGCACTCTCGGAGATCTTCTAAAGACACATTTGCATTTAGGTTTTCCCATATTTGATCTATGGCAGAAATTTCATCGTTCTTGAGGTCGGCGTCGTGTAAGGAGATGGCCGGGTGCAGTGTGATCACTTAAAATGAGCTTCCAGAGGGGTAGAATGATTTGGTCAAGAGGAATATGAGTTCACTCTTAATGAAAGCACAAATTGTTAGAACCAAATTCGCGCATTGCCGCAGGTGGAAGACATGCACAAATCGAAGTTACCTATAAAACAACAAACAACTATAAGCAAGCTTAAGACCAGGCCTTGGGGGGGGGGGGGGTGGGGGAAGGTAAGGCGAGGGGGGGTGGAGAGAGGTGTACCAGCCAAATGCTCTCTGACGATTAAGTTAGTAAACAAATATAGGACTCAAGCAATACGCTGCAAGTAATCATAACTCCTAAGGATGTGCAATATCTACTTCTAGATATCCTCTAGGATTCTCTCAGCTTAGAATGAGGATTCTATCCTAAAAAGGTTTCTCTCCCATGGTATAAATGCTTCAATTCTCTAGCCCATTGCTTGAGTCTAAAATCATTCACTAATTTCACCATTAGAGAGTCTTTTGCTAGCACACAACCCCCCGGCGCCCCCGCCATAGGCTTGCATGGTTGTTGATTGTTTTGCAGGTTGCTCGAATTTGTGCACAATCACCATTCACGACAGTGCGCGAATTTGGTTCCAACAATGCACACTCATGAAAATGTAAAAATGAAAAATATTTATATGAAATTTAAACTTTAGAATTGGATGTCCCAAATTCCAAGTTTTTTTTTTTTTCACACGAAAAATCTAAATTTCTATGTTTTTAAAACCAAACAAGAAAAATATTGCATGTCAATTTATAAATTCTGACTTTTGTCCAAATTGCAAGTTTATTTTCTTCATCCAAACATAGTGTAAAGATAATTAGATGGAATTGAGACGGCATGTTTTTAAGCTTTTGAACTATGAATATATGGTAATTTACATTATCCTATTCTCAAGTTTCCTAAATTTCAGTTTTTTTGTAATCATAGTATTTTTCATCTCACTTTCGTAATTACACATTGATTCTATCACCTTCATACTTTCACTAACATAACCATTAACTTATGATGTGGTAGGACTTTGGCCCAATAATTTGTACTCGTTGTATTTTTCGTCTCACTTTCAAAGTCACACATTGATTCTATTATTTTCATACTTTCACTAACTTGACCATTAACTGATGATGTGGTAGGACTTTGGCCTAATAATTCATCTCTATTATGAGACAAGTGTCTACAAGTTAAAAATAAATTGAGCTCTCAAATAAATAAAATTGAAGGTGTGTATGTTGATAATGACTTGATATACAACCATGATAGTGTCCTGCCAATAAAATAAAATCTTTTGTAAGTTTTTGTCTCCATATTTTTGTTTCACTAACACAAAATACCACGTAAAGGTGTATCCATATAATGTAAGTAATTCTCGTGCATACGGCCTCAATGTTCGAATAAATTGGGTAGCACCTCACCAATATTGTTTTAGCTTAACATATATGAGGCTTCACCCAAAAGAACAGAAGGCCAAGCTATAATGCCCACAAAGCCAGCCCAACAACTTCCAGTACCGAGCGCCGCACCATATGAATCGTCAAAACATTACCAAATGTCAGGCCTAACAATTTTTTAACACAAAATGTTAAAAGCAAGTCTACTTAAAACGTCAACTCTGTGCCACGTGTTGATTATCAACATGGAAGGTAGCCCACGATGGGACCTACAAAACAACTACAGGGAGCGCACAACCAGATTACTTTCTGACTGCCTTCAGACAAGCGCCCGACCAGATTAGTTTCGGATCGCCTTCAGACAAGCGCCACTCCTAAACGACTTTTCTACGTGGAAACCCTACGAGTATACCTGCTTGGACGTCAACTCCACTCCACAGTAAGGGCTGTCCGAGAATCAAAGGCCCAAAGACTTTTTGGGCTCATGCAAGGTCTATATAAAAAGGAGGAATAACCCAAGACGAGGTTTGATCCTAAAAAAAAAGAGAGAGCTTTACCACTTTGTATTAAGAGATTTTGTAAAGATTAACAAAGATATACATCATACATTGTCTATGGACGTAGCTAACATATTCGGAATGAACCAGTTAAATCTTTTTATTCTCTAACATTGACACCATATCATACCCGCCAAGGGTTGACCACACGGGTGCTCTATTAACCTCCCATAAGACATGGTAATGTGGTTTCTTGTAGATGTATAATGTTATAATGTTAGATAGTTATTATTAGGATAGAAAAAAATCGGTGAAGATCGAACTCGCACGAGAATGCATATCTTTTCTTGCATCCTACTGAAAAAGCCTCTGCTTATCAACCCGTCCAATTGTCAGCAAAAACCCAACTTTTAATAAAACGCTAAAAACAGCCCAGTCCATTCCCAAAAGCCCATTCCTCTAGGGTTCTTGTATTCTTGGAACTGCTGCAATCCGTGCCCTTTAAGGGCTTTGTTTGTTTCCATGAATTAACCATTACGACCAAAAGCAGAAAAACAAGCTTCAGCTTCTGATCTCTGTATCCGACGCCGCGGGATTCACCACGGTCTCTCTCTCTTCATCTTCTTCTCTCTTTTATTCGCAGATAATTGCGCAACTTACTTCTCTTGATTTTTTATTTAGCCTAAACAAACTTTATTAATCTCGTTTTTTGTTTTAAATTTATGGGTCTAATTTGGTTTCGTTGATAGTTCATGGCTTTGCTATTTACTTGTCATAGAAAGCAATTATTTTGATTTTTCAGTAATTTTGTTTGTATTCTTCATCTGATTGCATATTAATTTATTTCTTCTGCTGATTACTGTAACTGGGATTTCATTAGATTACATAATTTGTTATCTATGTCTTCTGCTGATTATTCTAATTGGGTTGTCATCTGATTTATTATCCATTTTTCTCTTTTAATTTAATTTTTGATTTGTTTTAAAAGTTGACCCTAGCAGGGTTTTCATCAGATTGCATATTTGCTTTTTCTGTTTGATTTGTTTGAAATCTTACTGTTGCTGGGTGCTCATCATGTTTTATAATCTGTTTTTTATTATGCTCTGTTGATCAATTTGCAAATGAAATGTCCTTAATTAGGATTGGGTTGTATAGTTAGTGCGTATGCGTTACATCCATTCGCAACCATTTTCTGCTGCTCGCTATTTACCTCAATTTTGATCACTTTGCAGATGAAGAAAAAAAGAGGAAGTCATACCAGTGAGTCCAATCCAATTCTCGATTTGAAGTCTATTATCCATCAGCATTCTCAATTCTTCGACAAGTTAGTTGAGCTCATCCCTGCTAGATTCTATCTACCCGTTGACGATGATGAAAAGCCATGGTTTCAAGGTCTCAGCAAGACTGCAAAAGCTTCAGCAAAGAAGGAATCAAAGGAAAACATTAAGAAAGCTCGAAGAGAACGGTTGGATCCAGAGAAGTCTTCTAAGACTACCCTTGATTTGCTAAAGCAAAGTTTGGAAAAGAAGTCAAACGATGAGAGTGATAGTGATGAAATAGAGATTAAGCCCGTGGTGCCTGGTCTGGAAGATGATGAATGTTCAGCGGAAGATGATGAACTTTCAGTGACATATGAAGAACTCCAGCAACGGCTTCATCGCAAACTTGATGAGTTTCGGGCTGGTCGGCATTCTGAAGGTTCAGAGAGAGCAAGGAAGAGGATTGAGCGAAAGGAAAGATATGAGAAGAAAGGAGCTGACCAGAAGAAACGGAAGAGAGAGGTCGTATCTGATGGTAAGAAATCTGCTAGTGATGATTCAGTGGCTAAAGTGGAGAAAGATGTTGCAGAGGCTGCAAAGGAGCTGACATTTGGTTATGTCAAACTTGGGGACGAAGATGAGCTTGGTAAGACAAATAAGAAGAAAAAGTTGTCAAAGTTGCGGGAGCTTGAGAGGGCAAAACAGTTGCAAGAAGCCAAGAAAGATCCAGAAAAAGGTGAGATAATCTCGAAGAAGCATTCTTGGAAAGCTGCAACAAGTAGAGCTGCTGGGATGAAGGTTCACGATGATCCAAAGTTGTTGAAACAAAGCATTCAGAAGGAGAAGAAGCGGCATCAGAAGAATGCCGAGAAGTGGAAGGGAAGGGTTGAAACCACAGAGAAGATGAAAGCAGATAAACAGAAGAAGAGATCAGATAATATATCACAGAAAAAGCAAGAGAAGATAAACCGGAAAATCGCAAAAAGAGAGAAAAAGCTCATGCGGCCAGGGTTTGAAGGTCGCAAGGAAGGTTTCATCACCGAAGGTTAAGCATAGTATGGCGTCGTTGTGTGCCTATTTCGGAAAGAATTAGTTTAAGCATCATGTCAAAGTTGAGGGGAAGTTGATTTGAGGCGTTCTGTTCTTAACAGAGCCAGCCCTTTTCTTCTCCTCCAAGTTTTGATTTCCTTCTATTTGTCATTTGGACTTTGAACTGGTTACTGCTTAAGAGCTGATTTTTTATAGATGAATGTGATTCAAGGAAAATTACTCTTAGCTAATTACTCTTGGCCATCTGATGTTCTATGCAAACACGTTTTTTATTTTTCCTTGTACAACAATATATTTATACTAAGGAGAAGAGGAATAAATTAATATCGAACTCTGATCATAGTTTGGGGGAAGAATTTGTGAAAAATGAGAGAAAATTGGGCTATAATTCATAATTGTCCTGTTTCTGGGCTTAGCATAAATTTCGTTAATCATAACGCTCATAAGCTTCTGGGTTATGAACGACTTCATAATCCCTTGGTGTAGAGAGAACTTTACCACATGTTTGGGGGACTTAAATTGACGTCTATAATCTATTACATAAGTCCATTTATCTGAATATTCAAGGATAAAATCCCAAATTCTTTTCCCTTTTTCTCAAGGAAAATACACAACTCAAAATGATGCTCTAGCTTTGGAGTTGATAATGAAACTATATAGGTTTAGGGACCATACCGAACTGGCTTTAATAACTAAGCTGAATTAGTTTGACGTGAACTAAACTGTAATAAAATTGTGAAATGTCTGATGGAGTGTCTATTTAACTATGCGGAAGTCTACTTCCTTACGTTTAAGCCCTTGTCAAGGAGAAAACTCAATCAATCGAAAATAGAATTTTGCAAGTCCATATATCAGTTGGAACATGAAACTCCTGCTTTTATCCAATTAGATTGGGACACATGTCCAAATAATTAAAATTATAAACACAAATTTTACACATGTTTAAATTTTATTAGGCTAAATTTTCAGCAGCCAAGTATTGTTCATCGGATAAGGATTGGGATGAGGATTTCCAAATCCCTTTTCCTCTTTTAAAGCAATGGATGTTTGGGTGACTTTTCGGGCGCAACGACAGCAACCTTTTTAGTTTTTGCTCTTTCTTCTCGTTCTTTTTGTTTCTCTTTATCTTTTTTCCCCTTCTTTTGATCCCAATCAAATGATGATCCAGATCGGACGATACAGAATTTCTCTACTCAGAGAGGTTTACGAACACAAACTTAAATTAATTTGAAAGGATGTTAACCATGCGTTAATTAAAAACCATGCATACATTATACACATGATGTACACGAAGTCGTACAAACATGCGCACAGCACACCACTTTGGTCAGTGACCACGTCCCCAAACCTATCCAACCCACAAAACCACAAAGTAAAAACTTAAAATTCCCCATTAAATTATGAAACACAAACCCCCTTTCCCAAAAGGGAAGGGGAAACGAAATCCACATTAAATTATGTGGGAGTCGCGCTGCTACGATATCCCTATGTCCTTAAACAACCCTAGACGCAGGGACTCCTCCAGTTGTGCCCTTGTGTATCGGATCGCCGGCAGCCGGGTAGTCGGTGTCACGGTAGCCCGGGCCATACTTGCTGCTGAAGACACCCGCATGAAGCAGCAAGAGGTACAATAGCTGAGTGAATGTCAAGACTATTACGAAAGCCTCCAAGAGCCTCAGCCTCCATCCTCTAAACCCTCCAATGCTTATCTGCTTCCATGCCAGTCTGTTGACAAACACCACGGTTATCATCCGATTGATCTCAATATAAACGATATTAAGTGTGCTTAAGTGCTATGTGATCAAGTCAGATTCTGAGATTTACCCAAAGGCCAGTGCCGTGAGAGCCCATGCCACGATGGCTGATGATCCTGCTGCAGCTAGGCTATCACTCCTCCAAGCTCTGATGTGGTTTGCTCCGGCCAGCTTTGATGCTATGCCCATCACTCCAGCCAATATGGAGAATATCAAAAAGAACATTGTTGCACCATTTCCTCCAAAACCTGAGCAAAATTTTTCCACCGAGTTTAATTTCAAAAAACGAAAATAAAAAATCAAATTACTACTAGTTCTCAACTTTTTACAAAGACGATATTCAAAACTTATCAATAAAGAACTAATCCACTCTAGTCTATAGAGAACGGGGTAGTCGAAGACTCAGACTGTCCTAACCAACTGGCCAAAGTCGGGTTTGCAATTAACTAAGCGTTAAAATCACCAGTAAACAAGAAAACCCACAAATCAAAAGAGAGGTAGTTGATGAAAAAAACATACTAGGGTGATTGGTCTGGCCATTGATGAACCTGTTGAGACACCAACTAGCAAAACCGACAACGATCAAATACATGATCAAGTTCAGAAACAGCAATGGAGCTGCCACGTTCCTTCCCACAGTCTGAGCCATCGATCTCTCCCTCAAATTTCACAACCACAAAGAAAAAACAGCAACAGTTCAAACAGCAAGCAGCTAGCTCTCACCCTTTGATAATGAAGAAGTAGTTGTAGTTCCTGGTAAGAACAAGGAGGTTGGCCTAGCTCTATATAGAAGCGGCAACCGATGTCAATGGTGTTTGGACATGCATGCGATACGTGTAAAGCAGTCAGATATGCATGTGGATAATTGGTTAACAGCTTAACAGGTGGTGGGACACGTGTCTTGATTTAGCCACTCTACTTCCCATGAAACCCTCTTTCTCTTCCCAGCTTCAAAACATTAAACAAACGGTGCATTATCCACAACACCATAGATATTTCTAGCACACATCTCAGCTACACTGCATAGCCATGTCAAACACCCTTGTGGGCCCACCAATCAACGGTGGAGATCATGATCTCCATGCATCGACGGCTGTGATGATGAATATTTCAAAATATAGCCATTGTGGTACGGGGTACTTTTAAGATACTCATACTTTTGATCATCACAACTCCATATAGAAGGAGTTACTAACTATTTTTTTTCTTCTTTTCAAATTTTTAATAACCGTAAACTGTATCAAAAATTTGATTTTTTTGAGCTCTTCACTTGTGGCGCAGGTGCAAAATGTAGCTGAAATGATGTGCAGATTTAAATTCACAAGTTGCAGATTAAAGAAAGTAGACAAGAATTTTCAACTAAAGTTGTAAATGCAATAGTTAAGAACGCACATACACAGACTTTAACTAGGCAGAAATCACTAATCAAGATATATGAAAATGCAAGTTTGAAATGCAAATGCACGAAATAAACCTGCCAAAGGAGAGATAGGCTTGAATACTTCCAACCTATAACTAGTAGTCCTTTTTTTCGACATTATCTATATACTAAAATTTGGTTATTCTGGCACTCACCGTTCGTGAACAGTAAAATGTCAGAAATGCCCTCGACTTCTCTTGCTTTGTCCTTCTGTTGCCTTCTTTGTACAGTTAATTCTCGGTTTTATCCTCGCTGGGCTCGCGTCCTTCATCGCTGGCTGCCTGATTTGAATTGGTTTTTGGCTTTTTGCTTTCAGGAAAAGCTGGAGTTGGAATTTTCGGGTTTTTGCATGCAAGCTTGGAAGCCCTTTCTGATCAAAGTATATAATTTCTGTTTTTCCTATTATATCTTTTGGTGAACAAAATGTAAATTTTTTTTTGGGTTGTGATCCATTTGCAGATCAAGAAATCAAGATTCAAAGATAATATGCCACCAATCACAGGACTCTAAATTCCGTTTCTGGAACTCTGTTGCTGCACTGAATCATCATATTTTGGAAGTAGATTTTTATATTTTGGTTCTCTGTGCTTTGCGGTTTTGTGTACAGATTTAGCTGAACATGGGGAAATCACAGCTGGTGTTCCTGGAAAAGCTGATGAGAAGTGAGCTTCCGTTTTTATTTTGCCGTTTTGCTGTGAATTTCTTCAATTTTCGTGATTTGATTGGTGATCTCAATATGAACCCGTCAGTTTTGAATTTTGGTACATCGAATTACAAAAGCTAATGAATTCCCGTGCTTAAGTTGTTTTATTTCAACATCTGTTCAACTTATTGAAATCCTGTGATCAGTTTTTTTCCCTGAAAACTTTGTGATCAATTTAATCCTGTTAGAATATTTAATATTTCTTTGTCCAAAATAGATAAATTTTGGTTAGTTGGTGGGGCATTTGGAGTGCTTAGCTAAAGGTTAAATTTCTTGGGATGCCTCTTTTAAAAGCAAAAGGAGAGATTGAAGCACTCTGTGCCCATTTAAATGGCGACAATCATGTAGATGTTTGCATTACGTTTGACAGTGATGCGTACTCCTTTGAGGCTAAATGCGTAATAAAAATTTTCGATCTAATTCCAAACTAAGTATTAATGTCTTAGTAAGTTTAACTGTCCTCAACTAGAGCAATTGTTTCTGCTTTTTCAAATTTAATTTTTATTCTTTTCAATTCATATCTCTTCTCGTGCCAGTTCTCAGGGCTTGTTATATTTTTAGGCACTAAGAGAATCTCATCGGTATGCAGGAACCATTTGAATGGCACTATATGTCAGATACCGAAGAGGAACCACTTGATTGCTCCCTCTCTTTTGGCTGAAAATGACCATGATGTCAAACGTTTGGTGAAGATGAGATAATTAGGTATGATACTAACTGGTTTTACACATGGTTTCTTTTTTGCTTAAAATGTTTTTTGAAAAAAAAAAAATTAAAGATCACATTTCATGCAGGTTAGGTGAAATAGGCAGTGGTGATGCTTCTGTCTTTCAAGGTGGTATGTAATTTGTGAATGATAGGGTACCCAGTTGGATGAGAGCCCATTAAAGACAAAATTTTGTCATTGTTTTTTTTTCTTTTTGTGGGCATCCCAGCAGCAAAAGAGCTCATTTCAAGTCAACTCAGTTGGTGACGGCTGCATAAAAGTTGGAAGAGGTTCAAATGCAGTTGCTTTTCATGTTATATGGTACACTGATCAAATCACTCGAATTCCCTTATTTTATATATATAGTCGTTGTTAGCACTGACATCGTATTCAATTTTTTGTGTCTATCCCCTTTTGTGTCTTTCTTTTGTTTATATGTTTTTTTTTTTCTTTTGCTGAATTATTACTCTTTGAATTGTTTTGAGGATACTTAATAGTTCAAATTTTGTCAGTGAGCTTTTATGTGCATTTTTTGTTTGGTTCTTTTTTCAATTGCACTTTTGTGTGCATTTTTTGCTTGTAAGAAGTATCTTGGCATAACCCGATTTTTACATGAATCTAAGTTTTTCAAGAATAGCAAAGGAGAGAAAGGTGTTTGTTGTGTTTGGTGTAAAATTAATTTTTTTGTATTCCAATTATCTAGATGATGAATTGGTTTCTTTTGTTTTTTGGCCTAATCGAATAAATGGTCTCTGTGGTGATAGGGTAATTGGAAGATAACCCTCGTGGTAAAAAAATTAGGATTTAAACTCTCGTGGTGTAATCTGTTAGCAAATTTAATCCAAAAATGAATTTTCCGTTAAATGCAGGGATAAAAATGTACTTTGACATGTGCCTTGTTCTTTCTCATCTCTATGCTCTCTGTGTAATTTGTGTTTGAGCATCCATGTGAGTTTGAGTGATGAGAATGAGAATGAGAATGGTGGGAGTGGACATTACCGATGGGAAGCCAAAGTCTTGAATCAGCTCAAGGAAAAGCTGGCAAGGATTGAGTTCATGTGGTTGTTTCGGAGGAACATGACTGGGTTTTCGTAGGGATTATTAATGGATTTAATGGCCTTGATGCTTCTGATTACTTGCTTTCCAATTACTTTTCTGTGCACAAAGAACTCAAAGGTTGCGTATGAATCAAAATCCAACCACTAACCATAGATCCACATTTTCTGCCAGAATGACACTGAATCCTCACTTAAAAACTTTAACAAAAAAAAAAAAAGAAAGAAAAATTACTATACCAAAATGAATCATTTACTTCATGATTTCGATAGATTGAAATCAAGAGAGATGGCCATAAAACCAACAACTACGACTACTCGAAACACTTGAAACAAGTTTTTGATTCATAGAAACCAAGACTTAATTAAGCAAAAACCAAACAGACCAGTAGCATATGCAGAGAGATGGTGAAGTGGAAATGACTGGTTCAACCCTTGTTAAGGCACTCCCTCGTGAAATGGTCGGACTCAGCGCATTGGTAGAAGCCTTCAGAAGCACCTCCGCCTCCCATCGAGTAATGTCCACTCCCACCATTCTCGTTCTCATTCTCATCACACAAACTCACATGGCTGCTTAAACACAAATTACAGAGAGAGCAGAGAGATGAGAAAGAAGAAGGCACATGCCAAAGTACAATTTTATCCCTGCATTTAACTGACATTTAACGGAAAATTTACTTTTGGATTAAATTTGCTAACAAATTATACCACAAGGGTTTAAATCCTAATTTTTTTACCACAAGGGTTATCTTCCGATTTCCTTATCACCACAAGGACCATTTATCCGATTAGCCTTTTTTTTTTTTCTTTTTTTCTATCAACATTTATTTTTGTGTTGTGTGATTAGCAGTTATGCATAATATTATTTACAATGTGTGCATTTTTAGTATTGATAGTAATGTTATAAATGATTAGATGGCACGATTGTTGTATGAATCTTGATATATTTTACAAATAATTTGTATTTAAATTATCTAGATGAGGTTGAATAGCGGAAGGCAAAATGTACACTTAACTGGAAGAAAGATTGTGTGACATAGATCCAGGTTGCGAATTTGTATGCTCATGTGCAAAAATGCTATGTTGGTCAGACGACATTGACTTAACTAATGGACATGGACAGAAGACATGGTACGGTAAGTATAGTAAATCTTTTGTCCGTGTTATTATGCAGTTGTCGGTTCTTTTCCTGGTCCTAGGCATACCATCTTATCATTATCTGTCTTAAAATAATAACAAAGTTTCCATTGCACTATAAATAATGACCTTTCTGGGATTTTCAAAACTATCCTTAGAACAATAGTTTAGGATATCCGATGTACTACTGATGCAAATATGAAGTACAACATTTTTCTTACGTATTAGACCGAATTGGTTGGAGCATGATGCAAGTGTCAGTACAGCTGGATTTTCATTTGCTCAAACACAAATTTTGTGCATACCTTCTTGTTGTTTTATACAAAAATTACTGGATTTATTTATCCTAAATTCACTATTGTTGTTAATAATTGTACCTGTTAACGTATATACTATGAGCTTGTAAGAACAATATCACATAGAGAATTTAGAGATAGAGAGAGAGAAAGAGAGAGAAAGAGAGAGAGAGAGAGAGAGAGAGAGATGTTTCATGTATTGATGACTTAACAAAGAAGTTATTACATGAATGAGGTATTTATACAACTCACAAGATTCTACTACAATAACTGCCTATCTAGGATTTAGACAAGTGTCAACATCTCAAGTGCATTATCTCTATCATCCCCCCACAAACTCATGCTTTGATAGCCCAAGCATGAGATTGCTGCAATGAAGTGTGAACAAAGGTGCACTAAGTCCCTTAGTCAAGATATCG